TAGAATACAGTGGGCAGGTGTTTGAAAAAAACCCCATCCATCAGTGAACTCAAATTGATATAAGTCTTTGTGCAAACGTTGGAGAATCTATGTTCAATAGTTCAGGAGATATTTGACAATAAGTTGGGGAATCTATGTTCAATAGTTCAGGAGATATTTGACAATAAGTTGGGGAATCTATGTTCAATAGTTCAGGAGATATTTGACAATAAGTTGCCCCACGAATTTTTGACAGCACAATAATACCCAACCCAGGCGCTACCGTTTGTACCTGGCTACGTCACACTCTTCTACTCAGATGACCGAGTTCTATGTGCTTAGTACCTTGTGGTTTTCACAAAGTTTGAGTTTCACATCATGTCAAGTTTTTCGAATGCAGTTTTTTAAATATCTTGATAACGACTCGGAATAATCGTACGATTTTGATACAGCATACAGATCATTTGAAGACTACCGGGAAGAACGACGGTAGTCACAAACTGAAAATCACGAGAGTACCAATTCTGAACGCTTGTTGACTCATAACTGTATTTCTGTTCAACTGTTGGCTGATCATTTTTGTTGGATTTCTCCTTCAACAACGCTTAACAATAAACCTCCATTAAAACAAATATAAAGTTATGATTCCACAAGCTTTTAAAATTGGCAATTGGCACCCTCACAATTTCCAGTCCGTGACTACCGTCGTTTTTCTCATGTGCTCTTCCTTTGGTTTCTGGAATCTTTGGAATAATATTAAAGCTTGTTCATTTGTCATGCTTTTGATGAATAATTCACCCATCTATCTGGAATATAAGTCGAGATATTTGCGATTGAAGGGGTGGGGGTGGGGTGGGGGTGGGGGTTGACTGGTGTCAAAGTAGCGAGGTAAAATTAGAGAGAAAATGGCCGGCAACGTTTGATGACTCCCAAGATTTGAGTGTCTTCGGAAACTGCAAATTGACATTGTGACATTGTGTCTTTGATCAACGTTTACACAAAATAAAATGGAATCCACCCGTAAATTTTTTTTTAATGGACATGTTGATAAAGGCGTTTCCACCCCCACCCCCAC